AGTCTGAGTATTTCTTTCTTGGATTTTGAAAGGAGCACATACCGACAGTATCATTCGTTGATCAATACTTCCAACAAATGATGCAGGTGCTGATATATTCTCTCCAGTGGCCCTGGTATTCAAGCTGCTGCTATTATCCATTCAAGCTGCTGCTGCTGCTATTATCCATTCAGTCATGTCCAACTCTTGGCGATTCTATGGGCCAGGTCTTTCCATGTCTTCTGATCTAGCACTACTTCTTTGAGTCATACTTTGGCAGCCTGGTTTCCTTTTACCATTAACTCTTCCTAACATAATTGCTTTTCCCAACGAATTCCCCCGCATGGCACGGCCAAAATAAGTGAGGCAAAGTCTTATGATTTTGCCTTCCAGTGACATGTCTGGTGTTATGTGCTCCAGTATTTGCATGTTGGTCACCATTACCATCCAAGGAATATGCAGGAGCCTTCTCCAGCACCAGAGTTCAAATGAATTGATTTTCTTCCTATCTTGCTTTTTTTAAAGTCCAACTTTCACAACCATAGGTAGTTACAGGGGATACATTAGAGCACACTAATCTACATTTCATTGCCAGGCTGATGTCCTTGCCTTTCCATAATCGACTCGTGTACAGTACATCATTGCTGCATGACTCGGTGCAATTTGGTGTTTTATTTCTGGGCTGCATCCACTGCTTTGAACAATCTGCAATTCTAGGAAAGTGAATTTTTCCATACAGCCTATCTCTTCACCATTAATTTTTATTTTTGTGTTTCCATTCCTTGCAGTGGTCATGAGCTTGGTCTTTTTGATGTTCAGAAAAAAGATCAAAATTCTCACTTTTTTTCTTGATCAGATGTTTCTGAGATGAGAAAGGTATCATCCTTCAAGCTGAACCAACACAAAATACTGAAAAACTACTTTTTCTCAAAGAAGAAGAAAGAAGGAGGAAGGAAAAGGAAGACAAGGAGGAGGACCCTGCACCCTTATATGTTTCCATACAGATTGTGGAGATGCTGTCAACCATCTCCACTATTTTTGATACTGTCTTCATCCAAAAGCTAGATCTGGAAGACAGAAGAGTGGGTAAGAGACTTGTTCTCTCATCTCTTTTTTTTTCCTGTTGAGATATGCATGGCGCATAGAAAAATAAAAAAAAAATGGGGAGGGAGGTGGGAGATAATAGGAAAAAGACACAAGACTATTAGTAAAGACATTTGCTTAGATTATTGAGCCAGAACCAATTGGTTAGGCCAGGGGTTCCCAAACTTGGCAACTTTAAGACTATGCTGGCTGCGAAATTCTGGGAGTTGAAGTCCATAAGTCTTAAAGTTGCCAAGTTTGGGGACCACTGGGTTAGGCTAATTGCTAATTTCCACTTAGTTTTCTCTTATGCCAAGTTGTTAATCGATAATTTATAGGCTATAGTGTAAGGAGAATGGCCCCACTGATGGCCATCAGTGATTAAACTGATGGCCATCTTCAACTAACAACTGCTAAAAACTTTGCTGTCTTAGGGATGACCTTAACTAGGAGCTGGGTGGGGAGGTGCTAGCCTGCCAATTCTCATGGATTTCTTACCAACTTTTGATACCAAAACTAAGTTTGAAGGGTATTGTTTTAAAGTACTTGTGGTTTTTCTTGTCCAGAATGGTCATGGGAGAAAACTTCCCTCCTATATTGTTTACAAGTAAATGAAAGTTTGGAGTCAACATTGTGCTGATGATCTCCAACTCTATTTTTGCTTAAGATTATGCTCTTATAAATAATTTCCCTGCTCCATCAAAGAGGCAGAGAAAAACAAGAGTCTGCTCTGCCAGATACAGGACATCTTAGTTTCAACATCAGAGCCCTCCAAGACAAACAGACGGTAAGTCAGTCTTCAGTCCATATTTACTAACAGGCAACTATATTTTATATTAGTGAAATAATGGATTAATATTGTGGCACTAAACACTCATCATGGTTGATGTTAATGATGGATGATATTGCATCATTTTGGATGCAATCACTTAGCACTTAGGCTAATTATTAATGCATTAGGCTAATTATTAATGCATTATGACAGTGGGCCAATTTACCATTGCATTTAAATTGACTGTGATGGGCAAAGTGTACGTAGGGTGGGAATCACAAATGATTTCACATCTAGATTCTGACCAGAGTTATGTCTGCTAACTTATAAATAACTAACTAGAATAAAGTTACCACAGTACAACATGCGTCTTCTGACAGTGACCTGAGAACATGGAATGTTAGGAAGACATGCAAGTAGGAAAAGGATAAAACCGGAAGCCAACTTATTATGGCGAGAGATGGTTTAAATAACTATTGTGAATTTTACTGGGTGAGGACGATTGCTTGACAGTGATTGGCTAACATAGTTTTTGACTGAGACATTGGCAATCCTTCAGTCAGCCGAAGTTTCAGATTGATATAAATGAGTTTTTGTAAAAAAAAAAAAAAGGAAGTGTTGTAGAAACCATCATGACTATGAACAAATTATCTTATTAATTTTAAAAATTTACATGGCCATCTGACTCATACACGACAACTCCAAGAGGCCTACAACATTAAAAATCCACAATATAAAACCCCTAAATTCCCCATTAGACAAGTTAATAACAAAATAAGGTAATAAATTAAGATGCCATTTATTTAAAATCCCTTTGCTGTGAGGGATTCAGTGCTACTATCCCCTTAGCTCAATTGTTCTTTGAATAAGGATTAATTGTATTGGAGTAGATTTTTAAGGGCCAGTACTAAATCAATACAATTTTGAACATAATTAACAAGCTAATACAGAAATAGGTTGCTTATTATTCAGATGGAATGAAAAGGGGAATTTAGGCAGAATGGAACACTTTTCTCTCCTACCATTTTGGGTGTTTTGGTTTTGTTTTGTTTTTTGGAACATTGGCTATTTGTTTTATACAGATAGGGAAAGAGGTTGCAGCAGTTTTTCTAATTTCTTAGAGAGTTAACATGGTTAATAAGTCTCGCTATATAGAAGATGCAACAACAATGAAGCAAATGCCAAAGCTCTGAGCTGTGCCCAGTTCCTTGCTGAGGCAGATTCCAAAAATGATGAACCATAATTCAGCATGCTGAGTCAAACTTCAGCACTATTCATCCAAATGTACTGACTCAAGTGTTATTGCACAAGTAGTGCCCTTTGAGTGTTCTCCCAACTGTGTGGGAGTCACTTTTCTGTCTACTGCTGGGAGAATATTTCAAATAAACTGATCACATGGGTGAATGGCTTGCCTGAGCAATGCCTATGATTGGTTGGGTTGGATGCTTTATACCTTCTCCCAGTTGCATAGGGAGACGAAGGGGACACAGCAGGGGTCAGAATTCAGGGAAGGACAACCAAGGGACTTCACTGGCAAGTAAGAAAGGCTTCTGAAGCCAAGGAAGGAAGGAAGGAAGGAATGGTGAGAGCAGAAAAGATGAGTGCATTCCTAACACTGAATGAGGCATCTTTGGAAACGAATGGGATCCAATAAAAAGAAGGTAAAGTAGAGTGAGATGATATAAAACAGCTTTACCAAAACAGCCTTTCCCATCCTAGCGCTTTTGAAACGATAGCTCCAAAAATGTCCTGTTAGGGTTCTCTTGAGAATTTAAGAATTATAGTACTAACCGTAGGGAGCATTGTGCCGGGAAAATAGTTATATGGAACAGTCCTACTGAGCCAGCATTGAGCAATGGTTCCAGAATTTTTATTCTACCCCAGTTCTTAGATAGTCCAGAGTGGTGTTTTTCAACCTTGACAAACGTTAGGGTGCACGGACATGTTGGCTAGGGAATTTGGGGAACTGAAGACCAAATACATTCCCAAGACTGAGAAATACTGCTCCAGAGTACAACCAATCTACTCTGGGCAAACATCCCCATAAACATCTCTTCCAACCCTAGCAAATTCTACCTAACATGTAGGCTACCCAACTGAAGTAGCCCAGACAGTGCTATTTGGGAATGATGGTTAGACTAGGGAGTAAAATAACCAGAAGGTCAGAAGGGATCTAAATTGGCATATCAATAGTCTTGGTAGATAACAAGGGGAAGCAAGCAATGTTCAAGAGGAAGGCGTATGAAAAAAAATGTCATGATCAGAAAAGGAACAAATTATAATCAAGTTCCATCAACCCGAAGTCATCTTTGTGCCAGTTGTGCAGAAACTATAAACGCCTTCTGCAAATGCTGAATGGTTTTGAAGACATTGGTGTGGAGCAGCAGCTCTGAAATGCATCTTCATGCCCTGGCTTCAGCCAACAAGAGAGCTGATATGAGCATGAAGACTGGCATGCAGTACAATGGATCCAGAGGTACACACTGGGGAAGTGCTTACCTGGGCCAGAGAGAAGACCTTACCTTTTTTCTCTTTCTTTTCCTCCTCTTCCCCACCAGCACCCAGCAAAGTAAAGATGATCCCAGTCTGTGAGTTGACTCCAACAGCAGAGATAACCATCCGCCCAGAGCCTTCCATGACGTGGGTGCCTAAACCGAAAGAAAAGTCAGAAGAATATTAAATGGAAATGTTAGGAACCCAAGAAATAGATCTTCTGGATTCATTACAAGCTGAGCTATTCTGGAAAAGACACAGTGTTATTTGACATCTACTGATGGCATGAAACATTAGCAAAAGGTTCTCATGGGGCTGTGCAGTACTTGGGACCCGAAGGGAAAAATAAATCTTGGAGCCCCTGTCCCAACTCTTAAAAGCAGGTGTGAATTTTTCCAGAATTTTTTTTTTGGTTTATTGCTATCCTTCATTATTTGTTTACTTTATTATTTTTACAAGTAACTCCAGGCAGCAAAAATATCCAACACTGCTTCCTCACAGCAACAACCAGTGGTGGATTAAAGCGGATTATGGTGCCTTAAGCACTGACAAATCTTGGTGTCCCCTCTCCTTTGTACATACTGTACAAACGAAGCCATATTCTCAACCTTGAGGTGCCCCCTTTGGGCCTGGTGCCCTAAGCATGTGCTTAGTCTGCTTAATGGTTAATACACCACTGACAACAACCCTGTGAGGTGAGTTGGTCTGAGAGAGAGTGACTAGCCCAAAATCATGCCTGAAGGAGGACTAGAACTCACACTCTCCTAGTTTCTAGCCTGTTGCTTTAACCACTAGACCAAACTGAATTGCTTGGTTGCAGAAACACCAGGGGAAAAGAGGTATATGGATGAAGGAATTACTGTGTTCAGAGGCTCATCAGAACTAAAATGCTGCAGTTGATAGATCTCAACATTCTAGCAAATGACAGTAATTACATAACAGTGTTGATTTTGCAAATCTGGAATCTGCTGCTGTAAGCCACTGGTTGTCAGCCTGGGTCTTAAAGAGATCTATGCTTCCTCTGAAGCTTAACTTGAAGAGCTAACCATAATGTAAAACTAATTCCTCGCAAAAAAGATTGGAACTTTCTATATGATCTGCCGCCACAGAGAACTACTAGATGACTGTTTAAGTTATTAGAAGTCTTGGTGGCGCAGTGGTTAAAATGCAGTATTGCAGTCTAACTCTGCCCACTGCCAGGAGTTTGACCCTGACAGCTGAAGGTTGACTCAACCGTCCATCCTTCTGAGTGGGTAAAACGAGGACCCGGATTCTTGGGGGCAATATGCTACCTTTGTAAACTGCTTAGAAAGGGCTGTAAAAGCACTGTGGAGCACTATATAAATCTAAGTGCTATTGCTATTAAGTAACTACATGGTTTCAGTTCAGGAGGTATGGCAATGAAACTTGAGAGGCTGGCTAGCATTCTATGGCTGGTTTCAGACAAATCACTAGAGGAGCTAAAATCATGTTAGGTGTTTTGTGTTTCAGTATCTTGAAAGATTTTGAAAGATCTTAGCAATTGCTCAGTCATATCACTTGAAAGGTCATCACATTAAGCCACAGCAATTCACATCCTTAGGCTGGAATTTAGAATTTAGTGTATCTGAACCAGATTTGCCCCATTAGATCATTCCCTGAGATCATCTTGGCTGTATAATGAAGCACACTGCTGTTTAGTGTAGATATTACTAATTAAGGCTCAATCCCCAAAGCTATAAAATAGTCGTAAAGTTTAAAGCACTTCCCAAAATATATTTTATATTTGTATTTATATATTTTGTCAAGCATGCGTTTGATAATATATATATATAAAATAAATATATATATGTATGTATGTATGTATGTATGTATGTATAAACATGATTATTAATACATGAAATAGATACGAATAAAAGGGAACATTAGGACAGGGATGGTAGGCACGTTGGTGAGCTTATGCACACCCCTTACAGACCTCTTAGGAATAGGGTGAGGTCAACAGTAGACAGTCTAAAGTTAAAGTTTTTGGGGTTTGGGGAAGAAACCACAGAGTCAGGTAGGGTATTCCAGGCATTGACCACTCTGTTGCTGAAGTCGTATTTCCTGCAATCGAGTTTGGTGCGGTTTACTTTGAGTTTGTATCTATTGTGTGCTCATGCATTGTTGTGGTTGAAGCTGAAGTATTCATTGACTGGTAGGACATTGCAATGTATGATTTTATGTACTATGCCTTAGTATGGGATCTGGAGTGCCTTAGCACCAGAATGATGTAGTCCTTTTGGAAGACAAAAGAATGTAGCTTGTGGGCATTACCTGAAATGCAATGAGTCTCATCACCATACAGCTCATCTATCTCACGTGGTCTCTGCTCCTTTGGAGCTGACTCAGTCCCTTAGCAAGTAATGAAGGCACTTTGATCCTTGCTCCAGAGTTGAGAGATTCAATATGAAGATGTACATCTTGGCTGAGCTGAAAATTTTCTTTTGGCATCTTGCTTTTAGAAGCTCCATATTTCTAATCAGTGTCAGTAACTTGCATGATTCATGCCAATGATTCGTCCAAGTCATTATGTGACCTGGCTGTGAGCAGAAAACAAAAGATGAATGAGCTTCTGACTGTTCCTTGCCTGTGGTGTGTGGGACCTTCGGTGGCTTAGAAAAACACCAACCTTTGGATTTTCCTGGGAAAAAGTAGACTTGGAGTTGAAGGAGGTAAGGCCAATAGAGTGAGGCTCATGTGAACTGTCTGCAGAGCCCAAATGCAACTACTATAGATACATTTAACTCTTAGAGGAGCTTCAAGGGGCCTAGAAGCCCTGAAGCATTTGGTACTCAGTGTGAAAAATAGAAATGAGCATTCTTCCACCATTCCTATGTTCCAGTTAAGCTTAAGCCTCAATATGCTTCCCTCACTTTTTGCCAAACTTGATGTTCCCTGAAAACCTCTCATAAAAAGGAATTTGCAGAAAGCAAGATACCCCCGCCCCCCAGGGAAAAGAGCTGTGTGGGATATAGTGCCAAATTCTATAACCTAAATGCATCAACAAATGTGCTCATAAAGTTTTAGAGGACAGAAAGGGGTTGTTGTTGTTTTTTTGAGGGAAAATGTTCAAGCAGTTTCAGTGGGAAAATACCTTGGCATTGATACAAATTTATGCTGGCCCAAATCACATTTTGGACAAAAAGGATAAATCATAAAATAGTACACATGCAAAAAACAAAGGAAATCTGTAAATCCAGGCACCCTTTATATGCTAGAAGATATCCTATGGGAGACATGCAGGAATCACTTACAGAAAGGAATAGATATATTTTCTTCATCTTATTTTTTTACCTACAGAGTAGTAGATTTGGTATCTATTAATATGGTTATATCATTGTGTTGCTACTTCATTTTGATGTAGTCTCCTATTTAACCTTTGTAAACAGACATGTTAACTGTAATGGTTTTTGAAGATATACATATTGCGACCTTGGCTTGGTTTGAACTCTTGACAAATTCTCTTTTGCAAGCATTTTCGGGAGTGGTTTGCCATTGCAAACTTCCTAGGGCTAAGAAAGAGGGACTAGCCCAAAGTCACCCAGAGACAGGATTAGAATTCCTAATTTCTAGCCCATTGCCTTTCCTGCCAAATCTTACTGTCTCAGTAACTGTATTAAGCCAGAGTTGTAATGGAATATATGAATGACCTTGGGGAAAAGAGAGGAAGAGATGCTGCTTAGGAAACAATCAGATAAGAGAGGTAGGAGCCCGCAGTTGCATAACGTCAGAGAAAGAAACGTAGGAAAGATCTGCCCTAGTTAAAAGTGGAGGGAGATTGTTTGTACCTTTAGACTTGTAAGGTTCTGTTAATGTTAATGTAGCTTTACAACAAAGTAGAATTAGTTCATCTTGTCGTGTTTCTTGTCTGGGAGCACTGTTAGATGTCCCTCACCTGATAGCAACATGGGATCTTTGTCCACTGATTTGCGTACATGATCGGATTCCCCCGTTAAAGAGCTCTCATCTATCTTGAGATCATTCCCCTGGATAAGCACTCCATCTGCAGGAAGCAGGTCACCTAGGAGAGAGGAGAAACGGGTTAAGCAATTAACTCTATCAACAAATACTGGTGACCTACAATCTTATGCCCTTCGTATGCAGTGGATGCCACACAGAGATACCATTTTGCTTTCTTAATTACTAAGCGAGCAATAAGCATGCTTGCTATTCGATAAACAGCGATACCCAGTGCTTTTTTTTAGTGCTTCCAGAATTTCAGTGGGAATTTTTTTTAAAAAAAGATATGCATACTTGCAATAATTATATTTCTGGAATTAAGTGTAAAGAAGCACAACAAAGTTGATGTGAAGACAGCTGTGCACATATTTTCCACTGCCATTGTTAATGAGAAGTGAATGGGGGAAGGAAGAGTTTATCTAAATCCTGGACGGATGGACAAAATAGTGTTAAGTTTCTGTTTTATAGATTGTTTAACAGAGTTCTACGGTCAATTCATTGCATTCCTTGAGAAACAAGAAATGAAAGAGCAGTGGAATAATGAGAAAAAAAAGTTTTTGTCTAGACATAGTCTTAGATAATCTTAAGTTTTCCTCCCTGATGCCCCATCGTAAGCTTTGAGACTAGCATCTCTGCACCACAACTGTAAAAGAAGCTCATATAAAGTTGAACCACCAGCTCTGAACCACCTCTGGGGCATCATGGACCACTTTGTTTACCAAGCAACTTTGGTGTTCCCAGAGGCAGAAACTAGCTATCAGAATTGTTTTAAATCCAGCCCCCTGAAGGTATCTCCATGCAGCTGAATTTGCCTTTGCAGGACTGGGCTAAGCCGAGTGATCGTCCATCTCTGGCCTTCCCTCTTACCATATTTGATCTGGGCGATGTCTCCCACCACTAGCTCGGCCACGGGAATTTGGACCTGTTGACCGTTACGGATGACAGTGAATTTCTGTTCCTGTTCTATGCGGCTTTGCAGGCCTCGGAACTGCTTCTCCTTGCTCCAGTCGTTGAATGCTGTGACCAGCACTACGCAGATCACTGACAGCAGGATGGCAGCACCTTCAATCCAGCCAGCCTCTGACTCACCTTCATCCTCTGCACCCCCTGACACATTCCCGCAGACTGGAAGGAGAAAAAAAAAAGGAAAGTGTTGATTACAGAAAGGCTCCTGATACTCTGATCATGCATTCAAAAAAATTTTCTACTGGTTCTGTGGGTGTGGATAGGAGGGTGGATAGGGGCGTGGCCATGTGACTAGATGGGCATGGCTTCTTTTTGCTTTTTTGCAGCAACCCCTCCCTCATTTTTGGGGCCTTCTGGACCTCAGGCAAACCTCCTGGTGGGGCGTTTTTGCTCCCAGAAGGCTTCTCTAGGGCCCAGGAAGGCAGAAAACAGAGCCTGTTGGGGTGCACAGCAACCCCCCATGCTTTGTTCTGGGGCTTTCTGGGCCTCAGGGGAGCCTCCTGGGTGAAGCAGTAAATAAGCGAGGGGAATCCCGGCACAGCTGATTGTAGGAACAGCTGATTGTCAGGATGAGGAAAAAAAGAAATACCTTAAGGAGTGACTCGGTGGGCTAGCATCAGGTGGGCGGGGTTGGCAGGGCAAGCGAGCAAGCGGTGACCAGGAGACAGGGTCGGGGGTATGGCCAGCCAGAAGCTACTACCAGTTTGGCAACCCACGCCAAATTCTTGCTACCGGTTTGCGTGAACCAGTGTGAACCAGCTGAATGCCACCACTGTCATGCATCACTTCTTAAATCAGGAAGAGGTGCCATGATTCTTATCAGCCACAATATCTGGGGTTGCAGGTGATTAGAGATCCAACTGTCTGTTTCTCAACTTTAGCAACTTTAAGATGTGTGGACATCAACTCTCAGGATTCCCCAGCCATCATGTTGACTAGGGAATTCTGCGAGTTGAGTCCATACATCTTAGTATAGAGACCAATGGTGTCCCTACCTCCTTCTTACAGTCCACTTTCCTCAAACAGCTACAGACTTGAGATTTCCTAGGAGTGAGGCAACAGCTATAAAGGTTGCTGACTTTACCACTCAATTTTCCAGTATTAATAGGCCTAAGTCTCATATAACTGTCAAGGTGTGAGATCCCATAAATACACATATTATTAACCTCATTGTTTTGTCTGTTGGTGCATACAGACCAGTGCATAATTGCGTAGAACTGGATATTTCTCCCATCTGTTCCGAATAGATTGTGGGAGAAGTTTTTAGAGATCGATCAAAAGTATATTGTCCCTTTGGGCATTTGGAATCCAAGCACTGTCTGTTGTACTATTGTCATACCTATAGATGATGGGTCAAATTCTATTGTTGTTGTTATGGTTATTTTATGGCTTTGATGAGGAGCTTGCTTGATTTATTTTAGGAGTCTGTCTTGTGAATTGCCCTTGGTTGTGTGATAAGAATGGTATATAAATACTCTAATCAATCAAACAGTTTCTGGCACTGGATGGCCATGGGGCATTGTGGGAGATTTCAACGATGGCACTCGTTTTTGTTTTCCTCCAGAACAATGTTTCTGTAATTTCTTGGAACGAGGAACTCCATCCATGTGAGGATTTCATGGCAGAGACGGCAGGGATCCAACCTTACCTTCGCTTTCTTCACCCGGTGGAGCATAAAAAGACAGCCCCAAGGAGATAATGGCAGCAATTTCCAGAATGATTAGGGTCACATCCTGAAGTGCCTCCCACACTAACTGTAGGAAGGTCTTGGGCTTCTTTGGGGGGATAAAGTTCTGTCCGTAGATCTGTCTTCTCTTTTCCAGATCAGCTGTGTTGTCAGAGAGGCCTGAGGTTAAAAGAGAGAGAGATAGTGGTAAGAATGAAGCAGCAAGTCAACTTGGCCTCTTTGTGACAGGCTAGAGAATGTCAATGTACCAGGAGAAAAGTGTGTTAATCAGCTTTCCCAACTTGTTACCTCAGGAGCTAGACTACGATGCCCATTTTCCCCAGCCATAAGTTACCAGGCAGGGGACAAGGCTGTTCTATTCCCAATATTCTATCATTCTCCAGACATTCTATTACAATGTTAGACTCATGCTTTTTATGTTTTAAGTGGAGTTCTGCAGGTGAAGGGAAGGGTTATGGTGTGCACTCACCAACCCACCTCAGATAACTCTAGCTGTTGCTTGGCAATTAAAATTATTGTTGCTATATAGGTGACGTTTCCTCTTGTTTGTGGATTGGTGGGTGATTTCCAGTATGGAAGAGAGTGATATAAGGCTGCTTATACTATGATCTGGGATGAAGTAACCTATGCCACGAGAACTGGAAAGTAAGATATGTTCATTTACCTATTTAGATTTATATCTCATTTATAGCTCTTATTTCTACAGGTAGTCCTCGACTTATGACCACAACTGAGCCCAAGTTCTTTTTTTAAAGCAAGACAGTTGTTAAGTGAGTTTTACCTCAGTTTTACAACATTTGTTAACACTATAATTATTACGTTAGTAACACGGATCTTAGGTGCACCTGGCTTCCCTATTGATTTTGCTTGTCATAAGATCACAAAAGGTAATCACATGACCCCAGGACACTGCAACTGTCATAAATATGAGCCTCATGCTTGGCCTCTTGCCAAGCATCCAAACTTTTTTCAGTACCATTGTAACTTTGAATGGTTATTAAAATGAATGGTTGTAAGTCAAGGAGTGCCTATACCATCTTTTGCTCCCATAAGGTCTCATTCCCTTCCCCAACCGCTGCACCATAGTGAGTATCTTAACTTACTGCACCTCTGTATGGTTTGCCAATTGCACAGTGGCAGATAGGCAAGCACTCCAGAGGGTTAATGTCATTGCCCAGAAGATCATTCCCCCCGCCCCTCAACTTAAAATCTGATTCAGAGGAATAGGAGAACTAGGATAGTTAACGCTTTTCTGGAATTCCATCAGCATCTTATCAGCACAAAGCAAGAATAATCTATTTTAGAGAATTACTAAATCTCATTTATTGTAAAATAACTTTGGTCACTGTGGTCATTTTCCAGCATGCAACAAACACAATGTCTCAGTCGAAATGTGGAGCCTGGTACTATTTTCTTGCCCATGACTTCTGTATCAGCTTGGTCTGGATAACAAATCACAAATGACAAGTAGTTTTACCACCAGGGTAAGCGGTGGGGGTAAGCTTACAGTGGTCTAGGCCCCACTCTGCAGAATGATTGGGAGAGTCCTCCTCCCCCAGAGGGAGTATGGTTTCAATACTTCTTCAATATTTTGAAGAAAATAAAAGAAAATACAAGGTCATCTAAAACAGACCCTCTGTCAGGATCCCGGCAGTTACCCCCATTTAAATCATTAGTCTCGAGCCAAACTTCCAAAACTTCAAAGGATTTATTAGGAGTTAAAATGTCTGGCACTGCCTGGGTTTAGATGACTCTGAGACACATAATTGATTGTCACCCTTGACCCTGGTTTTCCCCCATCCCCTGGGTGTATTGTAATTAATATTCTCCAATGGGACACATCCATAGCCAAGAGTCATCAATCATGCTCTCCAGTTAGAATTTTGCATGGCAGAAACTTCAGTCACTTAGTTACTATCTTTGAGAACATTTATGGAATTTGCACTTTCAATTTGCAAGCTGCCACACTGCTCCCCTTCCCTTTCTGTTAACAACTCTAAAAAGACCATAGAAATATTTTATGAGTTGACACCCTCAGTAAAACTATTAAGTCCAGGGTATAAAGCTATGTAAACAGCATAGTTTGGCCTACATAGTTCATCTTTGTGAAGAAAGTTTTTCCTCTAGCATTTGACTAATACATGCTTACTAAATCCCTCTCATCCCATTTTTCCCACCTAAATACTTCTTCATTGTCCAGCTCCTTCCTAGCCAGGGGTGCTGCTAGTTTGGGTGCACTGTTTTCACCAAATCAAAACTATACACAGGGCCCTTCTCAACTTCATAAGGAGAAGTCTGGAAGGGAACTGAAAAACTTCTCATTCACAGCATGGCCAGCCTGGTCATGTCTGGTCAAGTGAGGGTAGGATTTCAGAGTCTACCAATAGAACAAGCAGGAGCACCATACTGTGGCACGGCAGGCTTGCCCCAGATTGGGCTGCTACCCCCTCAGATTCCCCCTCTGCAATGTTAGGGCATCAGTCCACCCCCAGTGTCCTCTGGAAGCTATGAATGTCAGTGGGTATAGGCTGGCACTTCAAAGACTTGGCACCTGTAGTGAAGGAGGAGGACTTCACCCCGGGTGGGATTCAGTAGCTCCTGGGAGATGAAAGGACCAACTGGGTGGCACTGTAGTTGTCTTCTCTTGCTTTGCTCACCTTTCCTTAGCTTTGTTAAGTCCTTGTTAAATATTAAAAATGCCAGAGAGCCAGGCAAGCAGCAGGAACGACAACCCAGAGTTTGCTCTCAAATGCCCTCCACAGCTGGCCCAGGGGTGCCAGAGCAGTGCCTCTGCTTTTCAAGGCAAGGAGGCAACAGAGCAGCAGTTAAAACTACAGAGGCTGGGTAATCTAGATACTAAGAAATACATATATTTTGGTTAATAAAAGGAACTAAGGTGTTATTTTAATCAGCCTGGCAAGTTGATTTGGGTGAGCTTAAGTGTGTTTGCTCAGCCCAGTAAGCCCTCCAACATCTGAAAGGAATAATAATAATGAAGTGAATAAAAATACAATCTGGCAATGGTTTACAACCGGATCATTAAAAAAGAAAGAAACTGAAGGCTTGACAACTGGCAATGGCTGGAACGTTTAAAAAAGAAACTGAGGGCTTGATGTCAGCTACCCAAGAGCAAGCTGTTCAGATTAATGCAATCAATGTCAGAATTAGGAGGGGAAAAATAATCAAATGATTCAAAATGCAGATTGTGCAAAGAAGCAGAAGAAACAGTAGATAATACTGTATATTCAGCTCATGCAAGTAGATTGCACAAGCTGCTTATAAACAATAATATAACAGAGTTGCCGAAATGATTTACTGGAACATCTGTAAAAATTATCATGTGCCAGTAATGAAAAATTGTTGGGCATATACACTTGAAAAAGTAGTTGAAAATAAGCAAATTAAAATATTGTGAGATTTCTGAATAACAAATTGATAAAATCTTTGCTCATAACACACCAGATTTAACTGTGGGAGAAAGTGCGGATAATTGATATGGCAATACCAACTGGAGATGATCACAAAATATGAAGATATTTAAAAAGTTGAAAGATTTTGGCATAAACGTGAAGTGGCGGTCCCAATGATTATCAGCATATTGAGTCTCAGACCCAGAAATATCTTGGATGGCACTTAGAAATCACACAATAACAAAAATTCTATCTGCCAATTACAAAAGTACACACTGCTTTAATCTGCAGGTATATTATATTGATGTACTACAACTTTCTAGGTTCTTGGGAAGGTATCAGAAGGCCAATACTAGCTAAAGAACTGGGAGCTATGATGTAACATTTTTGTATATATAAGAGTAATAATAGTGTATTTTCATGTGTTAACACTCTGGCTTAGTTTAAGCAATTATATTAAACATAAATTGTTAAGTGCTGATCAATTCTTTCCTTAATCTGATATACAGGTTCAAAATAATTTGATTTTGGACACTGGGTGGCAGGCAATACTTCCCAAATAAACTCTTAATAGTAATAGAAACAAGAGGACACACATTTTTATTTAAAAGAAAAGAAAAGAAAAGCTATCTGCTAAGAAAATGATAATATATAATTTGTATTATGCTTGTCACCTTTTATTACTTAAAGACTGTATTTACATAATCAGATTCGTTAAAGATTTATCTATATTGTTCTCACTTGTCACTCTAGGAGAATATTAACCTTGGTAAGGTTAATATCATATGGACTATACAACTTGATCAGGGCAAAGCAATAGACACAATCTACATAGACTTTTGTAAAGCCTTTTATTCAGTGGTACACGACAAACTACTCCTAAAACTAAAATCTTATGGTATCTCTGGACACCTGCATAACTGGATAGAAGCATTCCTGTCAAACAGACAACAAATGGTCAACATTGGGAGTGTCCTATCAAATTCTGTACCTGTCAACAGTGGTGTCCCCCAAGGCAGTGTTCTAGGACCAACTCTTTTCATACTCTACATAAATGTCCTCTGTGATCATATTAAGAGCAACTGTGTTCTCTTCGCTGACGATGTAAAGCTATTCAACACCACAGACAATATGCTACCCTTCAAAAAGACCTTGACTATGTATCAGAATGGTCAAACAAATGGCAACTTCAAATCTCAACAAATAAATGCTCTGTCTTACATATTGGCAAAAAAATATATCAGAAAATAAAATACAGTCAAGACCTTGTTGATGATTCAAACTCTGTCAAGGATCTTGGAGTACTCATCTCTAATGATCTAAGTGCTAGAACCCACTGTAACTACATAGACAAAAAGGCATTAAGAGTTGTTAACCTAATCTTACATAGCTTTTTCTCTGGTAATATTACACTGATAACTAGAGCATACAAAACATTTGCTAGACCAATACTCGAATACAGCTCATCAGTCTGGAACCCACATTACGTATATGATATTAACACAGTTGAGAAAGTCCAGAAATATTTCACAAGAAGAGTTCTCCACTCCTCTACTCATTGCAGAATACCTTATGGCACCAGACTTGAAATTCTAGACCTAGAAAACCTAGAATTACGCCGCCTTCGGTCTGATCTAAGTATAGTATATAAAATCATACATTGCAATGTCCTACCTGTCAATGAATACTTCAGCTTCAACCATAACAATACAAGAGCAAACAATAGATACAAACTCAAGGTTAATCGCA